ATATATATATATATATTTGAACCCTCGTGTATACACCATGGTCACTTGATCAAACCAATTGCCTTTCGATGATAAAAAATATATATATATATATATTACCTGGTCCCGGGCAAGCAGCACCTCTAGATTATGCTTGTCAAGATGAGCAAAGCAGTCTTCCACGGTGAAGTTGGCGTCCTCCACGAGGCGGTAGTTGAGGTCACCAAGCCAAAAGATAAAGTCGTGGCTGTGAATACTTAGCACGTGGTCGGTCGGTTCGGGTGACCTGCGCGTAGTCCATACGCAACAAAAAGTATTAAAAAAAGACCAAATTAACAACAAAAAATATACAAAATTGACCAAATTAACAACGAAAATATAAAAAAAGACCAAATTAACAACAAAAAATATTTAAAAAAAAAAGACCAAATTAACAACAAAAAATATTTTAAAAAAAAGACCAAAAACAAATCGAAAAGTACGAACCCCGACGGGTTCATTTCGTCGAAAACCGAGTCGCGAAACTCAATTTTGGCCAAAATATTGGCAAAATCCGCGTTTCGACCGGCGACGTTGTGGGTATGCGCGGCCAAGTGCGAGCACACAAACACGATCGTGCTGTCATAGAGCGTCATGCGCACGGCCACGCCGCCCTTGTTGCCCTAGGAACCGCGTTATCCTCGTCCTCTTCCTGATCATGATGATGTAAGGTCGTTGGGAAGATTCTACCATCATGCCCATGATCCCGACGCCTGCCGTGGACCCCACGACGTCCGTGATGAAGGGGAGGTGGTTGCGCTTGACAAACACGAGCAAGAGGATCCCCACAAGATGCTTGTGCAGCACCACTTCGTACGCTTGGTCCGACATGTGTGTGTTCAACGCGGCGAGGATGCTCTCTTCCCACTGCGCGCTGCGGGGCCCCGACATGTTGTTGACCACGACATTGACAGCATTCAAGTCGACGATCTCCTGGAACCCCACCGCGACAATGTCGGGGGAAAGCTGGTCGTTTTCGTGCGTGGCGCGAAGCCAGGACAGCAACTTGGCCGACTCGGCGATCGACACGGGCTTCTTTGCGTTCACGTTGAACGTACCGGTCCACAGCACCATGTCCTTGATCTCGGTAAACTCGGACGCGCGCAAGTGCAGCTTCTGCGCCATGCAATCTTCTCGGATCTGACTGAGCACCGCCGGGTGGTAATACCGGACGTTCTGTTGATTTGTCGCGGCCGGCGCCGGCGGGGCGAGACCCACCGACGAGAGGGACGATGGACGCTGTGTGAACTCCATCACTCAAGTGACAAGGACGACAAGGCACGACGGCAAGTCAGGTGGCGGGGGATCGAACGAAGATCGATCGTTTCAAAATGGAAAGTTTGGATTTGTACGGTAAAAGATGCCCAATGTATTAAATGCTATCTGGATATCTTGATTTCAGTATATTGGCTCTTCCATTAATTTCCCTTGATGGCCAACCACGAACCAATCACATTGCGCGCTCGGATTGTGTTGTTGGCACCATGGCCGAGCCAGCAGTCGTCCCGACGACACAAGACGTCCTTGGGGATGTATATGAGCCAGCGGAGGACACATACTTGTTCCTGGACGCGCTGCAGGACGAGAAGGACTTCCTCGTGGCCTTGCATCCACGGATGATGCTCGAGCTTGGTCCTGGTTCGGGTGTCGTCGGCGTCTTCGCAACCAACCAACTCGCCGCGGCAGGAGTCGTGGACACAGTCCTCTTCGCCGTCGACATCAACGAACAGGCCACCGCGTGCACGAAGAACACCGCGATGCTCAATGGTGTGTCTCGCATCGAGATCCTCCGCATGGATTTGCTGACTCAAGCGCGGCTTCACCACCAAGTGGACGTCCTCCTCTTCAATCCTCCGTACGTGCCCACGCCGTCAGAAGAAGTCGGTTCCATGTACGTCCAATCACATAATCAACATGCATGTGAATCATCATCCTCGTCGTAGTGGCATTGAAGCGGCGTGGGCTGGCGGCCGACACGGACGTGAAGTCATCGACCGCGTGCTTCCCATCGTCCATGTACTGTTATGCCAGCTCGATTCTTCATTCCGATGTTTGGGTGTAGACAATCTTATCGCCTGAGGGGGTGTTTTACATGGTCGTGGTGGCGGAAAACAAACCCCACGACATTGCGCGCATCATGGAAACGCAAGGCTTCCACATGGAGGTACATATATAGACATATATGTATATATATAAAAAAATATATTCTTCCAAGTATATATTATTGATTTGGTGTGAATTTCTGGACTTGGTTCAATCAAACCACACCGACCAATTCCTATTGGTCAATGTGAAAGTTATCGTCGCTGATTGGCTACATTTTCTTTACTTTTGACTTTGGGCTTTTGGGAAAGCCAATGAAATTTCGCGGCGAGATTTGCGATCGAATCTACAAATCGTGCAGTATTGGGAAATTTGTATATCAAATTCATCTTATATAATATATATATATATATCCGTTGACATGACGTTGGTGGTGTCTAGACCATTCGATCTCGAAAAGCATTCAACGAACGACTGTCTATCGTCAAGTTTACTCGCCGCCCGCCACCACAATGAAGTGTGCTCATGACATTGAATACTAGTAGTACTACAGTAGTATTAACAGAAAGAAATAAATGTAGCGAAACAATAGGCAGAATCAACCAACTGTACTAGATGTGTCGTACACGCACATAAGTCACTCAGAGTAGGTGACGAATACACTGGTTATGGACGACCATAAGACAGTAAAAGACTTGATACAAGTGCGTCGTTGGCAAGGAAGGATCCATATTTTCAAGCAGGGGCAACGCCAAGGGGTGTGGGGTGGTCCTCATGTGATCCTGTCTTCTCTCTCATATTTTCAAGCAGGGGCAACGCTCTATGGCGATGCCAAGGGGTGTGGGGTGGTCCTCATGTGATCCTATCTTCCCTCTCTACCTTCTTGGCCAGGGACTAGAGACTCCGATGGCTTCACTGACGTGATCTGCTTTCGAACTCCCCACGTGGCAGCATGATGCCATTGCCGTCGGCGGTTTCCGATTTCATCTTTCGAACCCGAAAACACTTACTTCAACATCCCGTATTCGACATTCGTGTGCGTCAACAATGCACGACAATTGCCTTCTAAAATACGGCTATTTGGTAACATCCGTCCTGTTTAGGAGATAAAGACACGGTGAAAAGCCTATTTAGTACCGACTCGTCCAATAAGTCCTTGTTTCAAGGGAATGGTAGCTTCCAGAGAAGCGCACAAATATAAATCGCCGACCAATCGGACCACGGAGAAGCAATTCCGGAGGACATCCACTTGGACACTTGAGATACATCGAGATCTTAGGCTGCTGCGATGAATGCTGATGACTTTATATGCGCCGTGTGCCTTGAGCCGTTCGCGTCACCCATCACGCTCTACTGCGGCCACACATTTGATCGCGAGTGCTTGGTGAACCTCGTGGGCAAGCCTTGCCCGATGTGCCGGCAAGGTGAGATACGACCGGATGTCGTTGTGCAGCCTAAGAACCAGGTCATGTACCGGCTGGTGTTGTCGACATGCGCCAATTCGTCAGACGTGATTGCGAGTCGTGGCATCGGCCATGAACATGCGCGGTTGACGCGGCTCGCCACCTACGTCCGCCCGAAATCGCCGTCTGCATCCGCGTTGGCACGACGTACCATATCCGTGCACTGGGGTCATCTCGTCCTTGTCTTTCACTCGTTGTCGTTCCCATGGAGTGCCATGTACGGCCCCGCTGGCTTCACCGACGACGACAACGACGATGACGACAATACCGAGAGTAGCATTCCGTGTTGCGCGCAGTTCTGCAGCTGGTCCATTGCGTTCACGTTGATGGCGTCGTACATTCTGTCCATGGTACCACCAGCCAGCTAGCCAGCCAGCCTTGGCACATTATTGCATGCATGTTGAAAGCTCACAGTGAGACCTATGTACCTCCTTTGTAGATCTTATCGCAAGGGTTACACTCGTAAGAACGCTGGCGGCGTCGTGGGCTTGATGTATTTATCACTGGGTGGCGTAAGCAGCTTCTGTCCAGCATGCCAGACATCCATGTGGCGAAGCGCACAATGCATGGAAAATATATCCAATTGCAACCGTTAAAATCCGTAACGATATCGAGAAGGAATTGCGATTGCAACGACGTCCGACTGTATATTATTTACCAAGCCAACACTTAGCAATGGTTGTGTATCATACTATGGCTGGCCCTACATAAGAGTAAAAAGTAGTAGTAGTAGTACTAGCTACCTACCTAGTATTGCTAACTTGTGCAAGTATGTACCGCAGAGACTGATTGGATGCACAAATGAGCTATTTGCCATACGTGTCATCAACCAGAGTGTATGCATGCTACTTAGGCTGCGCGTTGGGCGACTAACTTTCGCTGGACCGTGGCTTCGAGCTCTCGAATGTCAGCCATGGTCAGGCCGTTCCACTTGTGCGACAAGCATTGCGCCTATGTATACACCAACAACGTTCAGTTTTCGGTTTTAGTCCTTGTCCATAGCGTATCATGTATCCAACCTGGCGCAAACTGGAATGAAACAGTCGGCGTTGGCGGTCGCGGATCGCGGTTTCGACGCGGCCTTGGAAGCCCCAGTAGTCAAACTTGACGCGTACGACCTTGTGACACGTCATCACGGGCGTCACCTTGACCTCCCAGCCGGGGGCGAGGGGTCCACGGCCGGTCTTGGGACACGTGTACGTGGACGGGTCGAATTCTAGTGCTTGGGGCGTCGGCGTCTCGTTCGGCAAATTCGAATCGATGCGGATGCTGCAATGATCGTGAGTTTGAGTTGATGAGTTCCAGAGGTAACGTACAATTCGACAGTGCGTTGTCGAAGTTCTGCTGCAGACAGCTGCAGGGCGTTGTCTATGGAAGCAAGCAAGGGTGAATACAGGATGGACAGAAAGGACATGGATGAGACCTGCTTCGCCCGTTCCCGCAACGTGCATGGATTCAATGGAGATGTAAAACTTCGTCTTGGACAAATATCCGTTTGTGATCACGGTGAGGCAGTGCGGATAGGCATTCCATGCTTCTTCAATCAACACCATGCTGTCCTCCGGGCAACTACGTGGCACATTCCACCGTCAAGCACATGATGGTATCGCAGGAACGGCATGTGACTTACATGGCACTGACATACGATGGGATGTGCGACTTGACGTGGTAGTGCTTGAGGGTGTATTGACCCTTGTTGCGGGGAATCTTGACGTTGGAAATCGCCGAGATGTCCCCAACTTGGCCATTCGTGTTGTCGTACGGCTCGTTCTTGAGGATTTCGACGCCTTCGCCATCCTTGGTGTTCTTCTCACTAGCGTCGACCACCATATATAGCTGCGCGACCTGGAACTCCTCCACGGTCATATGCACAGGCACGCGGAACTCATGGATCAGCATCTTGGGCTCGTGGTTGCGTCGATGAGAATTACCGAATGACACATCGAAGACGGCGAAACCCAATTAAGTTCGGGTTCGCCTATTCCAACAAGCTTCGCTGAAATACGCCATTAACTGTAACTGTAAACAGGCCATCTGATCCGCACTTAACCGGGTGTTTACTGTTTTTCGAGGAGCACATATGAAATGTTGACTGGTTGCTTGACAATGAAAAAACAACCTTAAAGCTATCACAGGCGAACAAGATGACTTCCTTCAGACTACCGAACGCTTGCTGGTCATTGCATGTACTCTTCGGAGTACATAAGGTGACCAGGGAGAGGCAGGAGTACCATCATCAGTCAAAAAAATGAAACTCTCCATGATATTTGCCCAACTTCTTGCCCAATAGAATGTCAGAATTGATACTGTGGATTCGATACGAATTTCCAGACCACATCGAATCTCGCCGCCGAATCGAATCCGAATCGACGCTAACGTTAATGGGTAATCCATTTTTGAGTGGATTTGATTGGCTCTTGCAGAAAGGACAAGTATATTCAACCATCAGAACTCCGGCATGATTCAATAGTGATTAGACAAACCAGGCGAATTTTGGAAGTTTATAGCAAATTCACAATATGACTGGATAAAACTACTGACCGAGCAATGAAACCCTAATATTGTTCCAGGAATTCCGAGGTACGTTCAGCCTATGATATTTAATTACTCTATAGACGAATAGTAACTGTATAAATAGATATTTGTATCGATTGATCTGTATTAACAATCAAATCTAAATTTTAGCAAGTCAATTAGTATTGTGCTTTTCATGTAGTTTGCCGGTTGTTTAACTGCGTTAAACAACCAGACGTTTAAAATTATATAAGCCCGATTGAAGATAAAACAACACTAAACACAAGTTCTGCATTTCAGCAGAATAAAACAACCCTTACTTTATTTCAGCTGCTAACTAATCGAGTTGCAGCACCAGGCCAACTTACGCCGTACAACCACCAGTTCATCACGATGCATACCGTATTAGGATGTGAAATGGGAGTACTATGCATCGTGTAGTCGTAGTGCGCCCTTGCCTTTCACGTACAGTGCTAAGGTTAGAGCAGATCACGAGTTGAAGGTATGGCATAGCTTTGAATCATTGGACAGAGCGACGACTACATGTACTGTAGCCTAACTATATCCCTAACGTTATATACATTACTCGGAGTAGATAATGTTAGTACTGTAGTGATCACGGATGGAAGGTCATGTATGTGGCAATAGCTCCTTCAGTTTCATTGCGTCAAGCACCTTGACATATTGACGTAAAGCAAGTTGTTTGCCAGAATGAAAACGGCAAACAACTTGTTTTACGAAAGTGCCAGTAAAACCACCTTCAACCAACCAATCATCGCATTAGATGAAGTAACTTTAAACAACGCACCCAACCGTTATTCAAGTTACTTTAGACATTATTTAAACCTGAAAATTTTTTAAACAATGAATTTAACCCTGGAATTGCCAAAAAAGGTGCAAAGCACAATAGGTGTTACAGTCATTTCCCCATTTTTGGACGAGGGCATATTCAATATTTTTCAAAAACTTATCATTATAAATTTCAATACCGGTTGAAATTTAAAATTGGTTCCACGTCAAACGAAATGCTATCCTGTGGAAGAAGATTGACCTTGAAAGAAAAGATGCATTGCGCGTCATCTACAAAAACCAACCAGAAGGGTCATTGACCTTTGCTTAGGTGTGCGAGTGGGCCAAAAACGAGTTTGGATGCGTTATCCACTC